TTATAATTTGAAAGTGATGGTTTTATTATTTGGACAGTAACTGATTTTGGGTTAAAAGCAAAAAAATATAAATACTAAGCATAATATTAGTAAAAGAAAAACAAAATGAAGTCGATTAATAATACGTTGTTCTGTATTACAAACAAATAAGCTTTTTATCATTGTTATAAATCCACTGAAAGAATTATTATTAATTGTATTTTCAGTAAGTCGAAGAACAATTAAAGTAAGTAGTTTTAATTCCAGAGATAAATCACCAAAAATACCAAGAATTGTTGTTATAACAAAGAATAAATCATTTCGACTAATAAATTCATACGTATACTGTGATGGAGAACATGTGTTATAATCTGAAGAGAATGAAATATTCGATGTCCAAGAATCAATCATAAGTTTATTGATAATTGCTCCAATTGTTTCATTCGGTGGACTAAAATTTTCATTTAAATTTGAAAAATTAAAAGATAATCCAAGAGGAAAATAAAAGCTTGCATCTAATTCAATCATCCATGATAGATTATAAAAACATTATAAAGTTGATTTCATTAATCCTTCGATTTGAGAACAACCCAGAAAAAAAATTGGGGTTGTGACAAATATTGTGGGAAGCTCCAAATAATATACATCACTACCGTACAGATCGATAGAGATAAGGCATAATGAAGATAAAGTACATGAACAATTGAAATAATCTCCTGCTTCAAAATGCATTTTTATATCATTCAAGTCTATATGAGGAATATAATAACGAAACAGTTGACTAACAAGTTGATTTCCGTGTGATACAGCTTGAAATATTTTTATTGTTTCTAAAAATTGATCAATAGTTTGAGATTTCCAATCATTAATAGATGAATTAATTTTAGCTTCAAATCGATTTTGAGAAATAACTTGTGAAGATAGAAATTGTGTTTGAAGAAATGTTTTGATACTTATATTAACTGTTTGTTGAGAATGTTGACATAACAATGACAATAACTGAAAGTGGAATACACCAGAATTTTGATAGTCAAATATTGAAAGAAAATCGTTCATCATCTCGTCACCACTGATATAATTAATCCATGCATCTGATATAAAATCACTTGGCCATACTTGGTGAAAGTAAGGTTCAATCGTAATAAAAGCTGAATAACTTATTGAAACTGTTGAACATGGACAATAAAGATTTGAAGAATAAATTTTTTCAAGTTCTTTATATTGAAATTCCGATGGTTGATGGATTGTTTTTGTTGAAGATCTTCATTAAATAATAAATAAAAACTAATTATTATAAGCAAAATGAGAAGAATGAATAAGTAAAATCGAGTTGCAATTCTTTGATAATTGATTTGATGTTGATTACTCCCATTCTCTTTAAACATATTTAGTTCAATTAAAGTTTTTTTCAAGAGTCTTTTTATCTTTATTATTTACTAAACATAAAAATAAATAAATAAATAATTTTATTTTTAGATTTTAATTAAGGAAAACAAATAAAACGTTTTATCTTGGCAATATTGATTTCAATAGTAAATCAAGTCAATCAATATAATCAACTAGACAAATATGTCGGTGCACCAATGTTAAAAGAGGAAGTAATTGTTCTACTAAAAAAACCTCTATTTTCTTCCTCAAAAAGTCTAAGATAAAATCGAGATTTTTCATTGTAAAATGTATTTCTCAATTTTAAGAAGTTTCTTGCATCATAACAAGTCAAATAAATAAAATCGATTTCATTGAGATAAAACATGCACATATCTCGTAGTCTTCATTCGCTGAGAACTTCCTTGTATATATCTCTTCTACTTTCTCACTTCTTCTACTTCATATGATGGTGTATTGATCATACTTTAAAATGAATAGCTATTTTCTGTTTAAGATCATGTTCACAACAGTTTCATCCAATATACAAAGAAGTTTATTTTTCGCCGGACGCCTCCGTTTGTCCATTGTGCCATTCTCTCTTCTATGGAAAGTTTTAAGAATAGAATTAATCCTGTCAGATATGGATGAGGATGTCAAGGAGTCATAACGTCATCGTTTCATTCTGTCTTGCCTCATGAAAAGTCTTTTTTCAGACTATTTATTCATAATGTTTTAAATAGCATTCAATTATTAATTTTATATTTCCTGAGATGAAGAGGTACAGTTCAAATACAACCTCATCTATAAATAATAACAAGGTTATAGAAAATTTAAATATTTTAACTTCAATCCATTCAGACGAGCTCATTTGTTTGGTCCTAGAACTCTCCTCATTTTTTTTTCGTTCCGACAACGTAAGTGTGCGTGTGGGTATGGGTGGGTGTGGTGTGGGTGTGGATGTGGGTGTGGGTGTGGATGTGGGTGTGGGTGGGTGTGGTGTGGGTGTGGGTGGGTGTGGTGTGGGTGTGGATGTGGGTGTGGTGTGGGTGTGGGTGGGTGTGGGTGTGGGTGTAGGTGTGGGTGTGGGCATGGATGTGGGTGTGGGTGTCAGTGTGTATGAAGAGAAAGCATTCACACCCATGCCCATATCTCACACCCACCCACACCCTTATCGACTCTCTCGCCATGTTTCCATCGAAACGCCCGTGGATTTATAAATTCATATTTGCGTTTTAATACATTTTCTTCAACGTTAATGCACATTTCTTGAAAAATGCATTTGAAATTTTGCTGTTACTAACGAAAACAATGGATCACAATAGAAGCCGAACTTCAAACTTAAAATTTTCAAAACGAAATAGACGCCCAGCGGGCTTTTATTCTGGGGAGAAGTTTATGAAAGATCAACGGAGGAAGTATAAAAAGTTGATTCTGTTATCGTCAGATAAAGCTCAGAATTTTGCATCTACGCTGACTATTTTCAGCCGGTTCAAATCATCTTCAGCTACTCAATCCTTGAGAATCCTTCAATTGGTCAAACGAAAAACAGCCTTGTTTCTCTAGGCTACAATTGATTGTCGATTTTAACCATTTATTTGTGATTAGCATCTCAGGTTCTATAAGATTGGAAGATAAATAGTCTGTTATCTGAAAAAAACTTTCGAAATTCCCGTGCTCTTCCTTCCCCCACCCCCGCCCCGCCCCCCCCGCCGTGGTCGCCGTGGGGACACT